GTATTAGCAGGTCATCGGGGGTCTGGTTCTCGATAACGGCAGTAGATCGCGCCAGTATTTGGTCAACATGTCGACAGATTAACAGTCCATCTTCCGTTCCCACCTTATAACAACCAGGACCCTCAATGTACTCAATGGTGGCGCGTTGCCACTTCTCTCTTGGCCCATAGGCACGCACCAGCACGGGCTGGTCAAGCGCGAAGGCTCGGATGGGCGCACACTGTGCTGCCTCTCCAGCTATCGCTCAGAGCGCTCTGGCCCGCTATCGGGATGTAAGGCAGACACCGCAGTTTTATATTTACGTCCATTCAACATGTCTGCAGGAGTTTTACCGAGGTGATTCGGCACCGTTCTAAGAGAGTATAACACCCTAGGTGTTTCTCGGTTCATGATACACCTGCATCAGACATTTTCTTGAGCTTGTTCTTGAAGGTCTGTATCGCCCGTTCGATTTGTCCGTTCGTTGCCGGGTGATATGAGGGTGAGTACAAGTGCTCGATGCCATTGTTCTGCAGGAATTTATTAAATTCCCTTGAGCTAAAAACTGTACCATTGTCCGAAATTAATTTTTCTGGCAATCCCTGCGACGCAAAAATCCTGCGACAACTTGCTATTAGAGCTCCACTACTCATATTAGATAACATCTCTGCCTCAAACCATTTGCTATAGCTGTCGATCATAACAAAAAATGTCTTCCCTTGAAATGGTCCTGCAAAATCAACATGGACACGACTCCATGGCTTGTCAGGTAAAATTCATGTATGCAGATCTCTCGGTGGATTGTTTCTCACGACCTGACACAACTCACAGCCAGTCAATGCGGCCTCTATCTGAGCGTCCATACCAACCCACCATACATATCCACTAGCATAGGCTTTCGTTTGGACGATTCCAGCATGCGGTGCATGCAATACCTTTAATACCTGTTGTTGTAAAGAAGCGGGTATAATGACTTTGTTACACCACAATAAACACTCTTTATTATGTGAAAGAGCCTTTCTTCGCGTCCAATATGACTGGAGTATGGGATCAGTATTTTTGCAAATCCATCCATGTAGCAAATGAAATAAAACCTTTTGTAGTACTGGGTCTTTTTTTAGTCTCAGAAGCAATTTTTTTGCTGCATCTAAGTTGAATCCAGAGGGAGGTTCCTCCAAAAGTAGCACATCGGCTAACGAATCCATCCCTCGCACTTCAGCTGCATTAACAAAAGTCCAACGGCTGAGAGCATCTGCATTACCAATGCATTTTCCGGGTCTGTATTTTATGTCATATTCATAACACGCCAATTTCAGAGACCATCGCAACATTCTAGGTGAAATCTGATCTGGAATAGGTTTATTTGGATTAAATAATCCGATTAATGGTTTATGATCTGTAATGATACAAAACTTGCTTCCTAGTAAAAATTCATGAAATTTTACTAGGAAGCAAGTTTTGTAATCCCGAAAATTATGGCTAAAGCTTTTTTATCAATTTGTCCATACCGTCGCTCATGAGGTTGTAACGTTCTGGATGCCATCATCACTGGTCGTTCTGACCCATTCTCCATTATAGGGGCAATTATTGCACCTATACCATATTTCGATGCAACACAGATTAACAATAACTCTCTTTTTAAGTCATATCCAACTAAGGTTAAATCTGATGACAACAAATCCTTAGCTTTATCAAATGCAACCTGCTCCAGCAAACCCCATACCCAAGGTTTCTTTGCTTCCAGCAATCAATACAATGGTTCCAATATTGTAGCTTTGTTCATAATGAATTTTTCATAAAAATTGTATAACCCTAAAAATGCCCGTAGCTCTTCTTTGTTCATAGGTGCTGGTTTCTGCTTTATCTCTTTCACTTCAATAGGTGACGGGTGCAATACCTCCGCATCAATCATATGTCCTAAAAAACTTATCTGAATTGACACAAACACACATTTGTTCAGATTTAACCGTAATCCCATTGCATTTAGTTTGGTCATGACCACCCTTAATCTTTGATCATGCTCCTCTTTATTCTTTCCACTAACAGCGACATCATCCAATAGACATGCTACTCCTTCAATACCTGCAGTGCAGTCGACATCACACGCTGGAAGATTCCAGGAGCTGCGTTTACTCCAAATGCTAGCCGGTTCATCCTCATTAACCCTAACGGAGTATTCAGTGTTAACAACATAGCTGTGTCCTCATCCACTTTCATCTGCATGTAAGCCTGTTTTAAGTCAATCTTACTGAAAATTCTTCCACCACTTAATTTCACAAAGGACTCATTAACAGCTGGTAATGGAAATGTATCAGTCTCTATGGCTAGATTAACAGTTGACCTGTGGTCACCACATATTCGAAGTGAGCCGTCATCCTTTTTTACAATTGTTAATGGAGTAGTCCATTAGAGTATTTTACAGGGGTTAATATAATATACCTTCATTCACCATGCATCTTAATTGTTCCTCAACTTGTTTTATCAGAGGAAATGGTACCGGGCGTGCCTTCAAAAACCGTGGCAAGGCATCAGCTCGCACATTTAACGACACTTGAGGACCCTTATACTCTCCAAGTCCTTCTTTGAATAACTCTAGAAAAGATTTTAATAATTCATCAACCTTCTCATCATCTGTCCAGCATATGACAGGTATCTCTAAGCCCAAAACTTTAAACCAGTTTCTTCCTAAAAGGCTAGGCCCACGACCAGAAACAATCAGTAGCTCACATTGTGCTTCCTTGTTTCCTAATGACATTCGAACATGAGCTCAACCTAACACCTTCAGTTCATCATGGGTCCACGTAACCAACTTCACGCTTATAGTATGTATCTTCAGCCATGATTGTCCTTGAAGCACCTGAGTCCACTTCCATGTTAACCTTTACACAATCAATCATAACATCTGCTTTGAATTGTGGCCGAATATTATCTGAGCAAACAAAGACACCCATCATCTGTCAGTTTTTTCATTTTCTCTATCTGAAGTTGAACTTTCCTCCACCTGGTGCAACTTGCCAGATTTCTTCACACAGGCCGGCGCAGCAGTTTGCTTCATCACGCTTGTTTCCAGGTACAAATCTGAGAATGTGCCCTGATAGTTAAGGCTCAATTGCACTGCTAACTCATAAGTAAGATTTTTCGTCTTTAACAACTCGCGACGGAGACGCTCTTCACGCCCACCTAACACTAATCGGTCCCGTAGCTGTCTTTTTAAGTCCATAAAATTACACCTGGAAGCCAGAGAGCCAATGGCCGCAATTAAGTCCTGAATACATTCATTATGATTTTGTCGACGTTTATGAAATTTATCAGTTTGTAAAATTTCATTCACTTGAGGTTCATAGAATTGGTCAAGAACTGCCAAAATGTCTTTAAATGTCACAGAAGTCAGCGTTCTAGGCACCAATAATGAAACAATTAATGAATATGTTTCCTTTCCGCATTGTGATAGAAAAAGGGTGCGGGCTTTGTCTACATTATCACCAATCACATCTGCGGCTACCAGAGCACACAATAAACGTTCTTTATATTCACTGCAATTGTCAGTCCTGGGATCAAATTTTCCGGGAAACACTACATTTGTCAAATTACACGCCATATTACTACTTAAACTAATTAATTTGCCTTAAAAGATACACGCCAGATCAAGTTGCGAAACAAACTCATTTAATCAAATATACCTTCCACATATATTACAATTTTACCCTCAACATTATCAATACATAACACTCGTACTCTGGTTCTGTACTCGGATAGCCATTGTAGCCCTACTGTACAAACACTTCAGTAGTTCGATATACAGACAGTCAACTTGGCACTGCTGAAGGGACTGTAGCAACGTCCAAATTTAGATTCTCACGGAATACCAGCGTAAAATAACAGCTTAATGCTGCTCTTTCATATGGAGAGTGTAGAGAACTGGATATCCTTTTTACTAGAAACGAGGCATTCCATCTTATTTCTCACGGCTGACAACACATCTGCATTTTCATCACAATCGAGGATAGATGTAGATGTCTATGGGCTACAGCAACCACTTGCCATCAGGTGAACTGTGTGCTCATTTACCACTCTCACCCTAAGATAAAAGATAAATGTACTACAAACCTTTTTTTTTTCAACTGTCCTATCCTCCTCCCTCTATGATTACTTTTCTATCCATGCCTCAACCTATAGATTTTAACCCGCTAGCTCAGAAAGAACAGCAAACAGATAATTCTCTTTTAACTTACATAAAATGGTGCATATTTTGAGTGATTTTATTATTACTTAAACCACTAAACTTTAAATCCTTGACACTTAACATTCTAATAAGATTCTAAAACCTGTGTTTGTCATATGTTTTAAATAATTAAACAGATAGATTTCCCAAAATTATAGGAAAACAAGTTTACTTTTTTATTATCTTACAGGAGGGATATTGTAGCTACAGACTCTTTAATATTTGGGCATACTCTTAATTTCATCAGTATAAATTATGTTGTTGGCCGTGGTAGCTCAGATGGTAGACTTGCTGTAAATTTCACAGTACATGAGCAACTTGGGTTCAATCTCCTCCGGCACCAATGAAATTATTAATTGCAATTTTAAGTGCTGATTTACTAAGAGCTAGAAGGTGAAGGAAAACATGGTGAGGAAACCTGCATGGCTGAGAAATAAGGATAAAAATATTTCGAAGTCATGTGAGGTTTGCCCACACGTATTAGGAGAACCCGCGCCGGACACTTCATTGCCCTATAACCTTCTCAGATATGAGAGGAGGCCTGTGCACAGCAGTGGGACATGTATAGACTGTAAGTTTAACTTTTAGTCTTTATGCTATTGGCAAGTTTTACCAAACCGCCACATAAAGAAGAATAAGTTGATGTGGTTACAGTTTGCAACAGTGCTGCCAAGTATAGTAATTATTACCAATCTTTCCTACTTTCAAAGAGTCTGATACGTCTGACTACAGACAGTGTATGGGTTGATGGCTGTAAGTAAATAAATTAAAAAATAAAATAAAAAAGTAAATAAGTTACCAGTGAGTGCGGCAGCATGCTACAGGGCGGCGTGATGGCGGCGAGGCCAGGCTGCATCGCGCGGCACGGCTCGGCGGCCAGCGCGAAGGTGGCGCCCTCGGCCGCCAGCGCAACGTCGCTGCGCGCCACCAGCGCCAGGGCCACGCCCGAGCACGCGCCCCACACGCCCGCACACAGCAGCTTGCTGTGTTGCTCCACAGTACCAAGCAGAGACCTGTCATACAACAAATAATCCCTATAGCATTGCAAGTTATATGTTATTTGTCATGCGTAATTGTCTAAATATTTACGACGGTGTACAGGCATTGTGAAGTATGAGGCATGCTAGATATAGTTTAGCAAATATGACAATTTCTCCCAACTATTATGAGCGGTTATATCACATGGTAAAGATTACACATGATCTATCTCTCTCTTTTATCTAAGTAACTTTGTTTTTCTTTAAATTGCTACAAACATTACAATTATTGCCATCGACCACTTCAAGTAAACTTAAAATGGTCACTTTAAGAGTGGTCCACAAGAAAAATTTAATAGTGTATTGAACACATGACTAACATTTGTTGCCCATAGTCAAAATTGTTACCCTACTCACTTCAATCATATTTTATAATAAATACTTTTAAAATATATATCTAGTGATCTGAGTTGAAAGGCCTGTCTTTGAATTCAAGTCAGAGCCGACACTTTGGAACCTCAAATTGTTAGTTTTGGAACTGATTGTGCAGTGAATGTCATTCAATCTTTGACAATGCATTTTAGTTTTTAACCTAAAGCCAATGTCATCACATTGGGCATAGGTCCGAGTTTGTGTTAGATACAACACTTTTAGCTCTATAATATACCTTCGTTCAGTTGAAAGCTTCTAAGATTATTTAGAAATTAGAATAATTGAATTTAATTAGAAAGACACCAGTGATTGTATTTTCGCAAAGTTACTTAATACTAATTTCCTCTTGTTAAAAATTACATCAAAATAAATGGTGTCCAGACACATTTTTAACCAAGTGTACTGTGGAAATTGTACTACCTTACGAAGGGAATACATGAATTTATTTAAAGAAAACTATGTCAAATAATGCTTTCTTAGAAAGACTGCCAAGTGGTTTTAAAAAAAACTGAATAAGTTGACTGATTGAGATCCTTGCAATCATGTGAATAATTTTAGTATTAGTTTATAATTAATTGCTAAATAAATAAGTAATTAAAATTAACATATCCTATTCTTTGAGACCATGGTCCTACCCCAGTCGAGCCAATACATTTGTGCTGCAACATTATGGTATATGTATAAGTTATGTTATGGTGCAGCATGGCTGCATCATGTTAGAGTCTAGTTATATCATGGCTTACTAGGTAAATCTTGTAGAGTCAATTAAGCAGATGGCAAATTTATTACAGAGAGTTTATATCCTGATTAATGTATATGAAGCAAGGCATTGGGATCATCATTTGTTTATTGTATAAATATTAGATACAAGAAATTCTTCTAAACCAAATTCTCATCGACAAGCACTGAACTGTAAACAGACTCATGATGACAACATGAAAAATGCAAACTCTTTATTTTTCATTTCATAGGACATCAACATGTTTTTCTTACCAATATCCAATCAGTCATTCAAATATTTTGTTGTCACGTAAAGTAAATATTATGAGGTACTACATGACCAAAACAATTAGGTCCATAATAGCTAGAGAGGGAACATTGGAATGGTGATTGGTCACTAGGGGAAGTGCGGGGAGAAAAAGGCAGAGTGCGAGCACCGAAACCGCATTCCTGTCATGTGCCTAACTGTTTAGGCCAAGTTGTAATAAAATAATTACAAAAACTGATATGGATATACCTTACTGAATCAGCAATTTCAAATGCATTTGTAGCCCTCTTTTTCTCATCATCTTCCAATAGAGGTCTAAAGTCTAATGACGAGCACAACGTGCCACATTGAGATGTAACCAATGTTACTGATATGTCTTTTCTTCCATCAACATATATTAGGGCTTGTTCAAATTCCTTAAGAACCTATAAATACAATTTTTGTAACTATTATTATATAAAATATTATATTACAAATTATTTAGAAATGTATCAATTATCAAGTAGTAATATATTTTCATAATAATAAATAATTTGCAAAAAGGGCTCTCCAGTTCTCTATACTCACTACACGAAACACAGCAGCAATAAGCTGCTATTTTACACTGCTGTTCTTTGCGAGCATGGTCCTACCCCGATCGAGCGACACATTAGTGCTGGAACCATAATATAGCTGCAGCTTGGTTCTACCACATAAGAGTTTAGTTATCTTTGCAGTTTTGTTTTAAAGTTTGAGGATAGCTCAGGATAATGTTAAAAAACATGGGGTTACAAACAATAGAAGTTTAAAAATCTAACAATTTGTGTCTTTGAATAGTCTCTAAGATTTGAACTAATCATGCTAGTTCAGACATTTAAAAAAATCCCAGATCCTCTCTGTTTTCTATTATTAGTTGTAGGCCTTTCTGAAAGTGTCAATTGACACTTTTATTGGAGGATTTGCTTAAATACTTGCAAAATGCTGGACAGAAAGTTTGCAGAAGAGAAATGTGTTAAATCAAAATATCCCTACAATTCTGAATATTTTTCCACATTTTTGTTATGTTTATTAATAAGCAGAGACTGCTCTAATGTAGGTAAGGCTAATATTTGGAGCAAAAGTTGATATATTCCCATCACATGAAACCCACATCCTTCCACATTCTATAATATAACCTTGTTTATTTTATACATTATATTCTCAAGAGTATTTTTGCTTATAATAGGTTTACTAAAACTAATATTATTTCACTTACACTAGTGAAGGATAATATTCAAACAAACCTCAATGTTATATCTAGGTCCTTTCTGAATAGTGATTTCAGCTAATCTTTGATCAATATTTATTGTTAAATACTTAAAATTTATATCAACATCTTTTTTTTGATGCGAATGATTCTTTGACCTTCTTTTGCTTTGGTGGCTTATCATTTTTGCTGTTTTCTCGTTTTCGTTTATTCAAGGCAAGGGATAATTTTGAGTTAAGCTTTTCCTTAATAGATAAGCAATCATCCCTATTAATAATTTCACTGTTAGTTATATTTATAGGATCGGCCATAAATGTGTCTGATGTTTGTTTTTTATTATCATCTGAAGTTTTGTTTCCCTTTTCTACTATTATTGAAGTCCTTGCAGTGTTTTGTGTGCCACCTGAATCTACATCACTAAGCCGCCTAGGACTCATACAAGTGCTGGAATAGGAACTAGATGAATGTCGTCGATATATAATTGAATCATCTGCACTATGAGTCTCAAAATCCTCACAAACAGATGGAGACTTTACAGAACTGCTTAAAGATGCTCTGTGCTTTCCACTTAAAATCTTTTTTGCCTCTCCATCTTCATATTTAGATGAATCTTTCTTTCGTTCCCGGAACTTCATTTCTTTGCTTTCAGGAGTAGAGCTTTGAATCTTTTTAATAAATTCTGCTTTGGTTCTTACATTCTTCTTACCCTTTGGAGCTTCTGGAGTTAGCTGGTATATCATATTGACAGCACCTTCATCCATCAGAAGCCTATCAACCTCTGATAACCTTTTATTTTGCTTTACATTTTTTGGTGATGGCTTCTTCCATTGCAACTTAGATATAGGAGACTTTGACTTCGATCTCACTATAGTTAAATCAGTCTTTCCTTTCTTATATGGTGGAGACTCTTTTTCAGTGTTTATTTCCTTATTCTTACTGACAGCTTTACTTTTTGTAAATGTGTCAGGATTATCTGGATCAAAAATTACCTTTTTTTTAATGATTCTCCCTAATCTTCTTTGTGGTTGACCTTCATCTCCACTCTTATTAGATTTTTGGCTGTGATCTTCACTTGTCGCAGAATCAATGGAAGTTCTTATCAATTCTTCCTTAGTTGTTACTGCTATTTGGACTTCCTTAAGTTCATCAGAGGACTTCAAAAGGGAGTCAGTCTCTTTAAGCAATTTAGCAGACTTGTCTGTTTCTGAAGTTTCTTCATCATCCCAATCCTTTACTAAAACATTAATAATGCTATCAGATTTACTTTCTTCTTTCTTTTCAATTTTTTTTGTTTTTGTTATTTTTTCTGTCTCTGTTCTCCTTTTCTTTTTACTATTTTTCAGTCGTGTGAGCTGTTGTAAAGCTAACTGTGTTTCTAAAGATTTAGAAGTAACAGTATTCATTTCCATATATTCAACTACTTCTTTGTCAGAAGATTCTACATCTTTTCCTTGCAAAATATCTAGCAGTTCCTCTTAGTTAAAGACTTCTTGCCGCCCAGTACAATTGTTACTTTCCACATGATCATCGACATCAGATGATCTTAAGGCTTCACTTAGTTCTATACTTTGCCCCAATTCACTCAAAATATTATTAGTAGCATGTTCATCTGAGTTTGTCTCATTTAAGTCATTTTCATTAATATCATGATCATTTTTTTCAACTAGTATTTCAGTCTTATACCTGACTTTATCTTTATTGGATGAATCTGTATGATTTACTTGAACTGCTAATATTTCGTTACTTAATTGTAATGCCAATGTTTCTTCTTTATTAACTTCAACTAATGATGATGCTGTATTAGAAACTTCTATAACAGATTCAGTTGACTGAATTTCAATTTCATAGTAGATTTTCTTATCCAAGTTTTTGACTATGATTTCTGTATGCGGTTCATTTGTTTGATCTGTCCCTTTTTCTGTATAATGATCAGATTGGCTAGAAATGTTTTCATTTATAGCTACTGTGTCAGGACCTTGGACAGTCGCTATTTTCTGTGATGTTTCTGTCTCATTTGTTTCAACGGTTACTTCATTATTTTCTTCGATCAATTCGACGCTTTCTTGTGTAATTACCATTTCCGTTATAACATTGTCTTCTTTAGCCGGTCCAGCTTTACAAATATCGACGACACCGTTCGATTTGTGACACACATCCGCTGCTATGCACTCTACAGTTTCTTCGATGACATTGTTTTTTACTTGATCTATAGATGCATTTAATTCAGGTGTTTCTTCTATAACTTCCATTTTGCGACTAATTCTTACTCAACACTAAAACTTACAGATAAACTTTACACAGGTTAACCTAATATGTTGATAAATAAATCAAACAAACGCAATTTTAACTTTAAAAGTTTAAAAACGGCGAGGATTACACTATTCCACCATTAAATACATTTCAGTTCATAACTAGCGTAAGCAATAAATTGTAATGGAATTTCAACTAAATAAAACAAGCGTTCCACTTCCACTTCATCCACAGATTTTTTTCAATGCGTCGTCGTCCATTTAGTTCATAGTTCATAGAGTAGAGTTAGCGATGGGTCAACTCGAATTACTAATTCGAGTCAACTCGAGTTGCGCTTAACTCGAGTTAACTCGTATTGGATCTCCCTAACTCGAGTTCGGGCTAGCTGTACAAGAACGAATCACGTGAGCCAGTGAAAGAGTATAGTGTGATTCGTTCGTCGTGTGCGCGCTTTGTATTCCCGCCATAGTGTTCTGTGATTATACGAAGTTTACCAATCATCAACAACACAACTAAACACAATAATTGGACATCAGTTCAGTCAGGGTGCTTATTTTCAGAAGCTGGAATTTTGTGCAATTATATAAGAAACCGTCTAACACCTAAAAAGTATTAATAGGAATATCATTCAATAATTGTTTGTCTTCTTTATTTTTCAACAAGTACTGATTACACTTTATTATTTATCATTAGTTTATTTATTTAACATAATTTTTATTGACTTTCAAAAAGATAGTTGTATCTTTTTTAGAATATTATATTTTGCTGAAAATACCAACTTCATATACTAACATCACAGACTTACTATTAACTGCGTATAACTTATTTATATGTTAATGTAGAAGCTATGATTAGTTATTTGAAAATATTGATGTTCAAAATACTTACAAGTGTGTTGACTTACAAGAAATGAAATTTCATTATTTGAGTATTATTTTCTTTCATTTAATCAGAAAATACTTGATTGAAATACTTTTTAACTAAGTGGTCCAATATTTGGTTAATTAGGTAAATAATATACTAATTTGAGTAATAATAATTAAATAAATGCTGCTGTTAATAAATTAATTGAAAAAATAAATGAAGAAAGTCAACAAAGGGCAACAAGCAAAGTAACTTGTTATTTAGAAGTCTATAATATCTACCTAAGTTATTTAAGAATATTTTGACTGTGATAATTAATCTATTAATAGCTTATGTACCTAGATATTAAAGCTAGACGCTGAAGCTGATATTTATTGTGAAGACTAGTTTTGTTGTTAATTACAGGTACTTGCTATAACTAAAATAAATACATAATAAGTATGTGATACATACTAAATACATCTTTTAATTTCAATCCTACCTACTAAGTTTAGTACTAAAAAATCTGTGTGTTTTAGTTATTCCAACCCACCAAAGATCTAGATAGAAAAACAAATTTATAAAAAAGTAGTTTGTCCTGCTAACTCGAATTGCGTAACTCGAGTTACGTGAATTTCAACTCGAGTTAACTCGAGTTGTAATTTTTCCTAGTTGGCACATCTTTAAGTAGAGTAGGTAATTTAATATACAGAACATTTAGTTCCTTTAGTTTTGTTTTATTTATCGTGACATTGACTACTAGGTCTTAAGCCAAAAATAAATCATTAAATACCATTAATGTTACTGTTAAAACCATGGAGTACGTTAGTACTCTTCGTAGACAGAGAATTATGGAGTGTAGAAGTAAGGAGTACCAACGTTGAAAAAGTGGCCATCTGTAAAGGTAAATAACAGTTCAAAAACTCTCCACAACAGCGCTGGAGTAGCTACTGGGATGAAATGAACATAGTAGTTTCGACGGTTTAAGTGTGCTGCTAAACTGCTCAATAGCTCTAAAATCTTAAATAATTTTATTTAGTAAATATAACCTCGAAAAAGTAGTCTATCCCACTAGTATTTTTCGGGGCATTCTTTAAAACATACCCCGTAGTTATAGTGGCGCCACCCTTATTTAACGGTTTTCTATGGACACTTTTTAATACACAGTCTGTACTCCTTACTTCTGCACTCCATACAGAGAATGCTATAGACGTCACTATATTTAGTGTGAGGAAAAATTTGCGCCACAACTAGTTTAATTAGGAATTAGTACGTAAAGTAAGCCTGAAAAGGCACACTACTATTAACGATTATCATCGATAGGTATTGTAGTGGTTGGAGAGCTAAGTGGACTGTATTTGACTATTTATTTATTGTAATATCTAAAAAAAAATTCGCGCTAAGTTTGCCGTTGGCGATATGGCCCTCGAAGGGTAGACATATTGCTAGAACTTTTCGCAGTGTAGGTATTTCTTTTTTTACCGTATAAAAGCTGTTTATTATATTTCTTATAGTGCAAACCATAAAATTATCAATTTCTAATGCTGGTTTCCTTCCTTTTTTTACGTGGTGTTGAAAGTTTAATAGTTTCTGTACTCGTAATTGCACCAGCTTCCAACGATGCTGACGCTGCTTTTTTAACCTCTTGTTTTATGTTTCTTAACGTGCGTTCTGATATACCAGACGCCATTGCCGTGCGTTTCATAACTTGATCGACAGGTATTATATAATTAAAAAAAAGAATATTAACAATGCTATAAACATTACTAATATTCCCCTTAACCACTCGTGGTAAGCTTAAAATGCTTGTGTTACGAGTGGTTCACGTCAGTAGTCAAATGGCGGATTCAAACCCACGACCTTTTTCAGTTCGCGGTCCGCACCCTGCCATTAGGCTACTGTCGTTTCTTTTTTTAATTTTTTTTTTAAAAAGAATATTAACAATGCTATAAACATTACCAATATTCCCCTAATCCACTCGTGGTAAGCTTAAATTGCTTGGATATAAGAACCGTTTTTTTTCCGCTCATTTTCGAAATAAGTCTTAACCTTTAACAACATATTTCGTACATCACTTCTTAAAGTTTTGCCTTTACCCATAGTTTAAACTAAGAAATGTCAAAAGCAAAGAATTTTTATGACATTATTGACATTAACAAACACGCGCGCATGCGATGACGTTGCCAACGATGCTGAAAAGGCGATTCAGCGGCGCGGTAGGCGGTTGTGGGAGGGGACGCGCATTCCACGGATCGGCAAACTTAGCGCGAATAGGTAGTACGTAGTACTATTATTTATTTTGTGCTGTTACTGTGATGTATATATATATCATCATCATCATCATTACAGCCCTTCACAAGTCCACTGCTGAACATAGGCCTCCCCCAAGTAATCCCACGAAGCACGGTCCTGAGCCACCTGCATCCATCGACTTCCTACATGTCTTACCAGGTCGTCACTCCATCTAGTGGGGGGTCGCCCTACACTACGCCTACCGGTACGAGGCTGCCACTCGAGAACCTTTCTTCCCCATCGGTTATCGGTTCTTCGAGCTATATGGCCGGCCCATTGCCACTTCAGCTTACTAATCCGTTGGGCTATGTCGGTCAATCTGGTTTTACTGCGGATATCCTCATTTCTGAGTCTATCACGCAGAGAAACTCCGAGCATAGCCCTCTCCATAGCTCGCTGAGCGACCTTGAGCGTCCTCATACGGCCAGCAGTGAAGGACCACGTCTCTGATCCGTAAGTCATTACTGGCAACACGCACTGGTTGTACACTTTAGTTTTCAGAGATTGAGGTATACCTGACGAGAAGATGTGTCGTACTTTCCCGAACGCTGCCCAGCCGAGTTGAATCCGTCGATTGACCTCTCGGTCGAAGTTGGACTTACCTAGTCGGACTATTTGTCCCAGGTAAACGTACTCGTCAACAACTTCGAGCATAGTGCTCCCCACAACTACCGGCATAGGTGTGACATGGACATTGAACATAATCTTTGTTTTGTCCATGTTCATCTTAAGACCTATCTATTGGTAGACACCACTGAGGTCATTGAGCATAGTGCTAAGGTCTTCCAGCGATTCTGCCATAAGGACTATATCGTCGGCAAATCGAAGGTGAGTGATGTACTTGCCATTGATGTTAATACCGTATCCTTTCCAGTCCAGTAGCTTGAAAACGTCTTCCAACGCAGCGGTGAAGAGTTTCGAGGATATAACGTCACCCTGTCTTACACCTCTCTGCAGTTGGATAGGTTTCGAACTCTGGTTCTGTACTCGAATAGCCATCGTGGCCCTACTGTACAAACACTTCAGCACCTCGATATACCGACAGTCAACTTGGCACCGCTGAAGGGACTGTAGCACCGCCCGAATTTCGACTGAATCAAAGGCTTTCTCATAGTCAACATACGCCAGGCAAAGTGGCAGATTTTATTCTTCGGTCTTCTGTACAATCTGCCGCAGGATATGTATGTGGTCTACGGTACTGAAGCCTTTTCGGAAACCGGCTTGTTCAGGAGGCTGGAAGTCGTCGAGTCTGCGTGCGAGACGATTCGTAATGACTCGAAAACAGCACATAGACGCGGCTCAGAAGGGAAATCGGTCTGTAGTTTTTCAAGAGAGCGTTGTTGCCTTTCTTAAAGAACAAGACCACCGCACTTCTGCTCCATGCCTCCGGAGTAGTGCCACCATGGAGGACTGAATTGAAGAGCTTCTGAAGGACTTCAAGTACCGGTGTTCCACCCGCTTTCAGAAGCTCCGCTGTAATTCCATCCTCGCCTGGGGCCCTGCCGTTTTTAAGGTGCTGGAGAGCCATTCTAATCTCGCTCAGACTGACGTCCGGGATATTATCGGAATAGTGTCGGGTAAGACTTGCTCTTGTATCGTTACTCACACTGGCGTGTGGCTCCAACGATGATGTGTACAGCTGCCCATAGAACCTCTCAATCTCACTCAAAATCTCAGGTGTCCCGGAAACGATGTTGCCACACTCAGTCTTCAGCTTTGACAGTTGGCTCTTTCCGGCAGACAGATCTCTGGCAAAGACTTTGGAGCCCTGGTTCCGCTCGATCGCTTCTTTAATACGAGCAGTATTAAAGTTGCGTAAGTCTTGCCGCATGCATTTGGAGATCTGTCTGTTCAGTTGCCTGTA